CCCCAAAACCCCAAAACCCCAAAACCCCAAAACCCCGAGAAGTTAGGACCCAATGGCAAATTATGGAGTCTTTAGAATTAGACATTAAATTTAACGTTTCCAAATCCATGGCTTTTCAAGCAGTCTTCCACTTCATCTTTGCTTAGGTATCACTGATTTAAGTCAATTTTAGTGAAGTTAAGCCTGAAATCAGGGGATTTTGCCAGTCCTTCGATCAAATTCTTGAATTCTTGAGGATTATGTCCCCAATCACTATGCATTCTATTCCCAGTATAAAACAAGTCAAGCTCCTCGATCTGACTATTCTTTAAAGATCTTTTAAAATGAGGAACATCTGGAATCGAAAGTTCTCAATACAGAAGTCCTAGTACTCTAACATGCTTGAAAGAGGTGACCAATCTTAATAATTGTCTCTTATCCAGCTTATAGTATCTGAATTCAGCTTTCTTCAAAACTCAGTGGCTGCTTTTAAAAATAGAAGTAAGATTTAATCTTCATTTTAGTCTTGATAAATTTATGAATCTAATCTGTCAGAAATTCGCTCTATTTGCAAGCGAAGTATTCACACATTTTTGAACTAATTTATTTCTCTTTGCAGGCACAAATAATGCTATATTATTAGCATCTCATATCTTGATTCCATCAAGCCTTGATACAAAGTCAATATAACGAGGGTTGCGAAAAAATAAACCGAGCTCTCTATTCTTAGGTCTTGTTTGGTTTCTGGACCCAAGTATATCAAAACCAAATTCCTTTGAAAAAATATGATAATAATTAGCTTTAGCAAGTACGCGTTCTATCTTGCCAGATCTTTCAAGAGTTGCCTTCTCTAGACTATACCATTCATTATATTTCAAAGGAAAGATGATAAACTTCAAAGAGGCTGCCAATGAAAGTAAGGATTGCTAAAACTTTGACTGAACATCTACAGCCGTTAAGTATGACAGCAAGCATTCTGGGCGCATATTTTCAGAACAAGAAGTTTGAAACTGTGTTCTACATCCTGAAGAACTTCATGAAATGCTTTCATACTAATTTATACATAGGCAATAAAGAATATAATGAGAAAGAACTCATCAGGCCTAGAATGAACTAACAAGCCTTATAATGATGCAATGTAAATGATCTGAAAATGGATGATCCCTAAAGATGTGCATACAATAAGTCTCTGCTTTCTCTGAGAAGCCAAACTCAAAGGTATAGGTATAAATAACTTCTGGTAGTCTTTTCCAATGGTTTGCTGGATAAGAGGATTCATAGAGATAATCATTGCAAGGTATCTCGACCATAAATCAAATAGATTAAGGAGTAAAGGCAAATTTCATATTTTAACCCTGGTTTACCATGCAATCTTGTGGGTCTCGTCTTGATCAGCTGGGAGCACTTTCTCCATTTTGTGATGTTATAAGTAACTTTATAATATTCAAGGAATTTATAAAAATGGGGTTTTGGGGTTTTGGGGTTTTGGGG